TCTTTGTAGACTACTAGCAAATCAGATTAAAGTTGGATTTCTAGCTCCTCTGTCTCACACCTGTGCCTTGCTTCTCTTTGTCACCACTGCCTTGCCAGCTAAAGCCAATTGTCTTCATACCATCCCTCAGCTTCCCATCTCTTCTCTCCTGTCATTCCTCATCATCCTCTGTAGTAAGTGTTGTTAAGTGTTCCTACAGTCATCATACTCTCATCCTGAAATACATCCATGTGACCGGCATCTTTTACCCAGTAATCAAGCTTTTCTACATTGTAGACTCAAGTTGACTCTACAGCCTGATTTTCCACTATAGCCTGTGATGACTCTCTTCACAAATGCAAGTTCACCAGGTTTCTAAAACCAGCCGTAGAATGAGCATGCTTTATTCAAACACCTCCTTTCCCTGGAGGTAACTGTTGTGTTTTCATTCTTTCAAGCATGGGTGTGCGCTTCTGAAGGCTTTTGCTTTTATAAGTATTTATAAGTATTGACACTTTCTAGTCTTTGTTATTTCCCATTTCATTAAAAGAATATAGACAAGATTAAAAATATATATAATACCACGAGTTTGCAGTGAAAAACTAAAATCAGCTTTTGTGGTTACCTTGTGAGGACTTGAAGGAAGAGTCTCTGTCTCTCTCTCTCTCTCTCTCCTAAGGGACAAGTTCCAAGTCAACATTTCAAGCCTCATTTCATAGGAACATTCTGCTGATGCCCACCTCTAAATGTACACGACGTGACCTATTAGACACCATTTTAAAACATGAAATCATCATATTTAATACCCCCTAAAACAGACACTCTTTTTAGGTGAACCAAAAAGCCCATGCCCCTGGTCCCCTCAGTTCCTACAAGGCACTGGTTGACCAGCTTTGCTCACTGCTGATGAATTCTACAAACTTTCGTGTGCCTCTGAGGTCCTCCCAGGATCTAGACATGAGCACAGCTAACCAGCACAGTACTTTCTGATGATGCTTTATCATAATAGCTGCTAATGCGAAGTCGGCGCGCCCATCCTGAGCTCCCTCAGCTCCTCCTCTAGAGAGGACTTCTTTCATCCCTTCAAAAGAGGAAAGTAAGATCCTTTCTGCTGCATCCAAGCACGCAGCAGTACTGACTGACCCATAAACATTTTTTAAACAAGCAGGAGTGAATCCTCAGTTCAGTCTATATCTATAATTAAATCTGCCTTTTATCCCTCATAATTACTGTTTCATTCAACAGGTAGCTAGGTTCCAATACTGAGTTCCTGAGGCAGTGTAATTTTGTTTTCACTCAGTCAATACCCAGCGCGTTTCTGTCCCATGATTTATATTCTGCCTGCCATCTGAAACACTTTCCTTCAAATTACCAATGCCTCTCTCAGCCCCTTACTTAAAATATTGTTTTATCGAAGAAGGCTCAGGAAACTACCCTAATGTAAAATACAAGCTCCCTCTGCACACTTTATCTCCTCACCTGCTAAGATGAGTCTCTTTGCTGCTTATCTTCACAGAGCTGATTTCTGGATGTTTGTGGATCTACTTTCTGACCTGCAGTCATATTTTATGATCTTAAAGGTAATATTCATTTTATTCATCTATGTGTCCCCAGCCCCTAGGAGCTGACTCCATGTAAGGACCAAAGCATTCTTACTTAATAGTTTCCTGCGTTATAAACATTCCCTGAAACGTAATCCAAAGGCTCCTCATATTGCCTGAAACACTGGCTAGAAATGATGATTCACAAGTCTAAAAAGGTTCACAGAGCCGCAACCCACGGAAAGGAAAGGCCTGAATATGTATTTTAAACCTTTAATTAACAATTATAAAGTGACAATGAAATGCTTATGTAAGTACACAAAGGCAAAGTACAGTGAGTGGGTAAAGAAAGGTCAGTGCATTCTTTCTTAGTTCCTAGGGGAGCAGAAAGGAAAGATAAACAGGTTTTAGTGGGTTTACTCAGAAGGGTTTGCTGGGCTTGACAGACTGACATAAACGAAGCAATGGCATTGAGTAATAGCTAGGCAGAGATCTGACAAGCTGGATTAGTGGAGTGCAAATGGCTTCACTCCTGCTTCAGGTCGAGGTACAAGAAGAGTCCTGGAGAAGGGGAGGCAGGAGAACTGGGGCTTTCAAGCCAACTTCAGCTACACTGACAGTTCAAAACCACCCTGGGCTACATGAGAGCCTGTCTTGAAAGAAGATGAGGAAGAGAAACAGGAGGAGGAGAAAGAGGAGGAGGAGGAGGAGGAAAGGGAGAAGGGGGGAAAAAAACAAAGAAAAGCAGAACAGAGACCTAGAATGAGGATTCCTCGTTCTAACTATGTTTGCACTGTTCATGAGATCCTTTCTTAGGCAGCTGTCTCTTACTTCACATGACACGAATGTGGAGCTACTCCTCATTTTTTTTGTAAGATTTATTTATTTTACATATATGAGTGCTCTATCTGCATGTATACCTGCAGGCCGGAAGAGGGCATCAGACCCCAAGTATAGATGGTTTTGAGGCACTATGTGGTTGCTGGGAATTGAACTCTGGACCTCTAGAAGAACAGACAGTGCTCGTAACCTGTGAGCCATCTCTCCAGCCCCCTCATGTTTTATATAAATCATTTTTCTTTGTATGCTATGAAGACAGAACTGATGATGGAGCAAAACTGTCATGTGTTAAGATCTGGTCTTTAAGGAGATTGGGTTCTTTGAATATCATTCACTTGAAACAGATTAAGTAAGGGTACAGTCATGCTTGTGGATGAGGTTCTTCCTTTTGAAACCACTGAGCCATGGGCTGCAGTAGCCCTGTCCTCATCACCTGTGTATTATGGCCAACTGACATGAAAAAGCTCTGCAATCCTCCCATGATCCTCTATCACACACCATAGTGAGTCAACATCATTGAGGCATGCCACTTCAAAACCAGGTTTCTATCATGTAACAAAGACAACAATTAAAACAACTTCCACAGACTCAGCCAGTACACTGAAACATATCTCTCGTCACGATAAATTCACATGCAATTTCTTTGGTTAAAATTTTTTAGAATTAATTTCCACATGTGGAATCTAAATCTCTAAACTAGGACACTTCTACATTAATTTTCAAATGTATTATCCTTTTCATCAGGCTTGTCTTTTAATTGGCTCTGAGCTTTTATGAATATTGAGCAGGCCACAAGGAGAATTCACTTTCATTGAGTTTCTTGATAGATAGAATCTTTTTCTTCAAAATTTATTTTAGAGGCATTTTAGATTAATAGAAAAGTTGAGCAAAGGTACAGAGATTTCCCATAATACTCTCACATCTACACCTTTCCCTTTCTCCCACCACAAAGGAACATTTGTTGTTATCAATGAGGCAACGTTGATGGATATACTCCAAATCCAGAATTCACATTGGAAGTAACCTTTGGCATTACATTTGTACACATGTGCATTTGGACAAGTTTATTGTGCATGTACCAATTATTACAGAGAGTGGTGCAATTAGAAACAGTGGAGTACTTTCACTATCCCAAATCCTTGATATCGCAATGATTCTCACACCCTCAGCCATTGGCAGCCACTGATGGTTTTGAAATCTTTACAATGTCACCCTTGTGGGATGACATTCTGTTGGAATAGTACAGTATATAGCTTTCTTGGATTGCCTTCTCTGATATTTTTTTTTTCATGGTTTGAAAGCTCAGTTTTTAGTAGTGAATGATGTTCTATTATTTAGATATACCAGGAGTTATTAATCCACTCACCTGCTGAAGATATTTCAGATATCCCTAAGTATTGGAGTAATGAGTAAATCAATTATAAACATTTGTGTCCAAGTTTTTATACGGGCATAACTTTTCAGTACATTTACAGGATAGCAAAGGATGGAATTTCTAGCTGTGTTTGACAGTGTTGTAAGAGTCTACTGAGCTGTCTTTTAAGTGACTGCACTATTGCGCATCTGACCAGCAGCAAACGGGAATGCCTGGGACCCTATGTCTGTCCCAGCATTTCTTCTTGTCTCTGCTCTAGATTTGGGGCTTATCTATGTTCTAGCATTTGTAACAGCATGGTCTGGTACCTTGTATTTGATTTTAAGTTAATTTGCTCTCCAAGTTCTGCTTTCTCTCTTTTACCAGCAGACACTCACATACCGCAAAATGATGTTTGTAACCTTGCCTGAGAAATTATTCCTGATTGGTTGATTAAAAGGCCCAAAACTGGGCAGGGCAGAATGGGGTAGATGTGGTCAAAGTTTGTGAGTTTTGAGAGGAGGAGGATTATGGGAGGGAGAGAGGTACAGGAGGAGGAAGAAGGAAAGAAGAGAAGGAATGGAAGGAAGGAAAGAAAGACATAATCAAGACTGTACCCCAGGAGGAGACTACACAGATGCATCCTTAGGTGATGTCGTCAGGGATATTCGTCAGGAGGTCGTATGCTCTGAGTTTCTAAAGTCCCTTTCCTTTTTTCATCCCTTTGTGTTATCATTCCACTAATTTCAAGTCCTGGGGACTAGCATCTGATTGGCTAACCCTAAATCACATACTCCCTTGGCTGTGGGGAATCTGGGTAAACATCACTGCCCACCTACCCCTGGCATCTTTAGTCATGAAGAAACAGTTAAACAATACAAAAAGTTGCCCCTTCCCGTCCCCCCCTTTTTTCTTTCTACTGACAAGTCATTCCCCCAACACGAAGAGGTGGAGAAAGAAGCTATCATTGCCTGGAATCTAATTTGTTCAGGTGCTTCAAACGCCTCGGTGAGGCATCAAAAAGGGAGTAAGGAGAGGCAAGCAAGCATTATATAAGACAACTTTGTCCCCAGAAAGAGCTTTCCAGATGTTTGAAATGTCACCCATATTGTATTAATTAGCACAGCTGTGATTTCTGTGGACAGCATTCACCAGCTCTTTCCCCATGAAAGTGTGTATTTTCCTAGCGTTTTCAGAATTTCTGCCTACTTGAGTTGTCTTTCAAATCATTCTTTTCTTCCTCGTTTCTTACCAGGCCTCTCTCCTTTGAAAATTCAATGAAGTTCATGAATGGAGATTTTCCAGACGATTTCATTCTCATGGGCTTTACCAAATACCCATGGTTGGATCTTCCTCTCTTCTCTGTCCTACTGACTTCCTACATGTTCACATTGCTGGGAAACATGGCCATTATCCTGGTCTCTCAACTGGATTCCCAGCTCCAAAGTCCTATGTATTTCTTCCTTACCAGCCTTTCATTTTTGGATCTCTGTTTTACCACCACAACTGTCCCTCAAATGCTGTTTAACTTACAGGGGCCAAACAAGAACATCACTTACATGGGCTGCATGGCCCAGGCCTACGTGTTTCACTGGCTTGGCTGTACGGAGTGTGTTCTGCTTGGCGTCATGGCCTTAGATCGCTATGTGGCTGTGTGCAAGCCTTTGAGGTACTCTGTCATCATGGACCACAGGCTCTGTCTGCAGCTGTCCAGCACTGCTTGGCTTGTTGGTCTGGCCAACTCAGTCCTGCAGTCTACACTCACCATCCAGTTGCCCCTGTGTGGGAACCAGATAGTGGACCACTTTTTCTGTGAGCTGCCTGGGCTTATTAAGATGTCTTGTGGGGACACCACAGTCAATGAGGTTACATTATCAGTGGTGGCCACATTCTTGATAATGGGTCCCCTCTCCATGATCCTTGTATCTTATAGTTATATTGCTCAAACTGTGTTTCGAATTCCTTCTGCAGCCGGGAGACTTAAAGCTTTCAACACTTGCTCATCACACTTGCTGGTGGTGTCTTTATTTTATGGTCCAGGTATCTACATCTACATGCAACCCTCAGAGGAGGGCTCCCAAGACCTCATCAAGGTCCTGACTCTGTTTTACTGTGTTATTACTCCCATGGCTAATCCATTCATCTACACTCTTCGGAACAAAGACGTCATAGGAGCTTTGAAGAGGCTTCTGAGGAAGGCCTTTTCAACTAAGAGGATATGAAAAAGAATGGAAAGGCCCAACAGTAATATGAAACATTTTTTTTTTTTTTTTTTTTTTTTTTTTTGTCTGAAGTGGGGAATTGCTGACCTTGAGTTTGTGATCTTTATGCTGCAGCCTCTACAGTGCTGGGATTACTGCTGTGTATTACCACACCCAACTTAAATGTTTATATCAAAACCACCCTCAAAACTCTAGAGCTAGAAATGGGCCACATCTTGACGAGTTATTGGCCAAAGTGGCCCCTAGACTTACATAGACATCACAAGTTATTGCCAAGGCTGTTGACTATCCTCCACAACCTGATGGTAAGGTCCTATTGCCTTAATTATGTCAAGAACATGATATAATTGAGCTGGTGGCCAACTAGAAGCTTCACTGATGGAAGGTGTTATGCCCACTACTGGAGGAGAAAAGCATATCACCCAGCTACAAAACCAGCATCCTACAACAGCAACTGCCTGCAAAAATACACTGGTGCAATAGTGGCACAGACAGGAGCAACCAACTATTGTGTTTTAAAATTAGATTTAATGCCCATTCCATGAGATGGAACCCATACCCAGCCCTATTGATAAGATCAATAACCTGACACCAGATAGATCATGGGCTTAGGGGGAAAACCTACTATTATTATTCTGCTGAATGAACACAGCAATAAAATGATATAAATAGCATATTGCTATGCCCAATTGCTCCACCCTCATTGTTACAGTAGATGGCAATTAACACAGAGACTCACAACTGAACAATGTATAGTGAATGAGACACGTTGAGTGCTCAGCTTCATAGAAAACGTCTTTATCAAATCCCTCCCTTCAAGGCTCAAGAGGAGGCAGAAATATTTCAAAAGCCAGAGGTAAAAGCTGACTCCAAAGAAACAGTGTCTTCCAAACCTAACAAGATTGATCCACATGTGAACTTACAGAAACTGTGATAGCATGTACAAGGCCGCACACATTCAAACCAGACAAAATCCCAGCATGGAGAAAGGAAAGTGTACACAAAATCCCACCCTTAACCAAGAAGCTACTTGAAATTGATACCTGCTAGGACAGGCAAAATCAGGTTGTTGCTGTTTTTCACAATGGAGTGACACTGAGGTGTATCAACTAAACTGCGTGAGATGCTGAAGGAGCATCAGGGGACCCTAGTGGCCCGGAGAACAGAGAACTGGCCTCTTCAAATGAGGAGGCTGCTCCTTAGTGCCCCTCTGCCTTTTTCCAAGAAAGATCCTTGTAGCTGGTACAAATTGCTAAAGGCACATGAGGAGGACTAATGAGGGAGAAGAGGTCCTGGGAACCTATTCAAAGTCTTCCCCCAGAGCCCTTAGGTGGCTCCACTTCTGGGGCCCCACTCATGCCCTTGATGAGAGCTGTTTGTCCACATGAATGAAGTTTGTCCTTTCTGCTCTTTTTTCCTTCTGTGGCCTTTGCCGCTCACGTCTCCTATGTGTTCTCCTGTTACATCACTTTCCAGTCACATTTTGCTTTCTTTAGGTGGGACTTCTTTCCGGAATGTACAATTTTTTGTCCAACCCACAGAACATATGACATAATGAAACCCACTATCTATTCTAACCTGAAATATGAATTTTAAAACAAAAATTTGTCTTCTGAAATTTCACTGTCATGCCAGGTTTGGTAGATCACACTTGGAATCCCAACACTTGTGAGGCAGAGACAGGAAAATCAGGAGTTCAAGGCCAGCCTTGGATTCACAAGCCCCACCCCCAATAGAGCCCACCACTACCAACAATAACAATTCCAACAAAACAAACCATTGGGGGTGGTCTGATGTTTGTATTTTGATGCTAATTACTGGCCCTCAAGATCTGGTTACTGTCCTATCCTTGTTGTGTAAACCTGCCTAAGACATTATTATTGATTGGTTGATTAGAAGGCCTAAACCTGGGCAGGGCAGAATGGGCAGCCCTGGCTAAGGTTCCCAGGGTTAAGGAAACAGGAGAATCATGGGAAGCAGACAGACAGGAAGAGAGGAGAGAGGAGGGTCCCACCATGGAGTGAACCACATGGGCCAGGAGCAAGGACTCTAGGAATGTTGTGGAAAGAAACACCAAGATGAAAAAAATATAAATAAGTATTTATAAGATTATGGATAGAAGGTAGCCCAGCTAAGAATGGATAAGATGGATGGCACTGGATGGAGGCTGGAGGTGGATGATGGGGTTACTGAAACAGCATAGATGGAATTATTTGCCCAGCCCAAGGTGTTCAAAGGCAATTTTAAAATATAACATGTGTCTGGACTTTGTTTGATTGTGATAGAGAGTTAAATAATGCCATCACAATAATTATAGGGCAAATAATAAACATTACATAGCCTGACATCAATTCATTTTCAACAACACAAACAAACAAACAAACAAACAAAACAATATCTGCTTTGATAGATGATATACACATGCTGAAGGAGGGAAGGTGCTATTTTTAAATGGCTCTAGACACAGTACTATTGAAATTGCACAATGTAATATTTCAATGTGCCCACACTGTGAAATATTAACTATGTTCCTGACCATAGTTACCTTTGTGTGTGTGTGCGTGTGTGTGTGTGTGTGTGTGTGTGTGTGTGTGAGTGAGTAAATGGATGTGTGCATGGGGTGTGGGGAGGCTGTTGTGTGAGTGAATCTATGAGTGTGTGTGTGTGTTGCTGGCTGAGGCACAGACTCCTCTCTGCAGGTTCATGGCCTTACTGACAATTGAAAAATGGAGTCAGAAAGGAACAGGAAGACAACTTACTGTAGTCAAAGAGACACAGCAGGCAACCTGGAGATCTCAGAGGATGGAGAGGAGAGAGACATGAGAAAGTTACATTTTAAAAGAACAAATGAAAAATAGACTCACAGAATAAGTAAGAAACCAGGAAAAGGAACCTAATGGGTGTTCCTTGTTTTTATTGAAGAGATGAAAAATTTCTCTTTTTTCATGGCAATAGAGACCTCAAGCTGAAACATAGCATGCCACCGGCTCTTGACAACCAAGGGCAAATATTAACCTGAATATTATTTGATTTAGTCTTGTATTCAGTGAGTAGTTGCTTCGGGTGGTCTAGAATTCATATGTGTCTAAGAAAGGAAGGGATATTAACTGACTGCATATTGTGGTCAATTTACATTTCAGCCTTGAAAGCTTTGGGGCTGTTTAAACGCTATCACTGGTCCTTTAACCTCACAGCCAGTCACAAGCCACCTGTGGCTCTGTCACTTACTGAGCTGCCAGTGCCGGTTTAGTCTTACTCCAGCCACGGGAGTCGAGAATCTGTTACAAGCATCTGTGACACTTCTCATTATAGCATTTGGGCTGGGACTTCACATCGTAGAAATCTTTAGTTTCCTTTGTCTTCCAGGACACTGGCCACCGACACAACTATTTGCCTCAGAGAAAACTGACATGTTGATGATGTTCATGTCTCAAATAGTGCCAGGAAGACAATGGCTAAAGACGGCCCTTTCATCCTCGTTCTTCCTGCCAAGTATTTCCTATCATATTGGCTAGCTTTGTGTTAACTTGACACAAGCTAGAGTCATCAGAGAGCAGGGAGCCCCACTTGAGAAAACGCCTCCATAACATGGGGTCTTAGGGAAGCCTGTCGGGCATTTTTAAAGTTAGTGGTTGATGTGGACGGGTCCTGCCCACTGTGGGTGGGGTTTTCCCTGGGCTGGTGGTCCTGGGTTTTATAAGAAAGTAGTCTGAGCAAGCTGTGAGGATCTAGCCGGTAGGTAGCCCTGGCCTTGGCATCCATTTTTGCCTCCAGGTTCCTGCCTTGTTTGAGTTTCTGTGATGCCTGCCTTCGATGATGAACTGCAATATGGAAGCACAAACAAAATAAAGCATTTCTTCCCCAAACTGTTTTGGGTCATGATATTTCATCACAGCAATAGAAACTCTGAGACACCATGGTAAGAACAGTTAAGACTTGCTCTCTTATTAAAAGTATGTGAGAACGTATTAACTATAGTCACCACACTGTGCGTTGTAGCCCTCAGTTACTCATCCTATATCGCGGATACTGTGTGCCCCTCTACCAACACCATGCCACTTCTAAAATCCTGCAGCTTTAGGCAACTACCATGTACTCTCCGCTTCAGTGAACACAACTTTTTAAGAGGCTATACAAAAGTGAGATCATGGGCTTACATCAATAAACTTAATGTCCTTCACAAATGGTAGGGTTTTCTTTTATGAAGGACAAATATGTAGGGGAGGGGCAAGCTCATGGGGACCTGTAGATCTAGCATTTGGGAATTTAAAGTGGTAGGATTACTTAAATTTAAGAGTTGGAGGCTAATATAGCAAGACACACCCGATCTTAAAATAAACAACCAAGAAGGACTAGGGATATTGCTCAGGGATAGAGGACTTGCCTAGCACATGCAAAGCTTTGGGTTTGATTTCCAAGAAAATAAGCAAAAATTAATAGTATGGCTCGTGCATATATGTGTGTGTGTATATATATATTCACACACAATCAATTTTTCTATATACAGTTTCATGTCAGTTAGGTTGAGTCCATGTTTTGACTATTTTCAATAACGTTACATAGAATTTAGATTGGTCTTCTTCAAGGTACCAGTTGCTGTTTCTTTGAATACATACTGAAAAGTGAAATTGCTTACTCATAGGATGTTAGGTCCAGAATTTACTGAAAGCATGACCCCAACTCGAGTAGCATGCAAGCAACAAAGGGCGTTTATTTCTGCAGAAGTCCAGCATGCTGGGGTCACCACCTTTGCAACATGACAGTGATCCTGATGGGAGCTTGACGGCCTCCTTTTAAATCCAGAAAGGGGAATTCCTACTGTGGCTATGTGACCTCGATTGGGATTGGCTGGTGCCTATGGAGGCTATGTGACTCTGGTCAGGATTTAGTGCTTTTCAAACCAGTAGTTAAGTAACCTTATCTTCCCCGGGCTAGCTGTCTTGGATGTTTCTGATTGGTTGCCTTTTTTCTGTGTTTTTTCCTGAGGCTCTTAGGCCTGT